CACAGAGAACACAATCGAACTCTGCATACATACCGTTTCTTATCAGGCCAGAGTGCTTGAAACGGTATGTATGCAGAGTTCGATTGTGTTCTCTGTGTTGACCATGGTGGTTCACCCTCTTCTCCCTCCCTCAGAGGAGGTGCAGTCCCTGTGCACCTTAAATTTTGCCAATAATCTTGCATGCATTGTGAATTCGGCAGCGATCAGTGAAGTTCGCTTCGCTGTATTTCGCTGTACGATGATGATCACGATCACTAAGCTCTGTGTTTGGTCTTGAGAATGGCCTTCACCCGTTGACAGTTTCTTGCTTTTCCAAAAGTTCCAAAGGTATTTGCGAGAAACAAAGGGCTCTTTTCGTTTACGTCAAGGAATTCCAAAGTAAGTAAACAAAGGTTGCATTTTAAAAACGTGTCTGGTGAGAGTCAGGTGTAAATTTCATCGACCTTACATATGAGGACTCCTAACTAAGACTTATTTTAATTTATGCCCATCTTCAACTAGATTATGATTCGAACATTTGTCTCTTTTATTTTGTTGGGAATCGAATTGTTAACACTACTTCAATGTTATAAACAATCAACTGAGATGAAACATCGCGGGTTTGAGCTTTAGGACTTGGGATTATTATCGTATTTATTCATATACAATCTGAACAGACACGGTGAAATAAATGAAATTCACGACCTTGAAGACCTACTACTGCCTACTATATGATGACTAGAAATGACCACCGAAATCCAAAGAAAGGAGCTGAGGTGGGATACCATACGGGTCGAGGCTGAAGCCATTAAACCATTGGCACCACTTAAGTTTTGTAGCAGAAAGCTTTGATCCTGTGCAGTTCAACTCAGGTTATAGCATAGCCTAAACAGAAATATTTTGCTTGTTATTCTGATACTTCTTCAGAGTTCGAAGAAAGGATAGGAATAAAAATCATCCAGGTCAAACTCAAAGATAATGGAACTGAATCACAAAGTGTCGAATTCACTGTCACCCTTGATTCGGACTATCGGATTACCATGAGGATACTTATATTCACAGACATTACACTNAAAAAAGGCGAGTCTCGTTGCAACAGAACAAATTACAAAAATCTATCCAACCTGTGCTCATAATTCCCAAATCACAAAATTTTCGTGAATAGAACTCGGTTGACCCTCATTCACATTCAGCACACTTTACTGTTTCCCTCCTTATGGTTGACCTTCATCAACAAACGGAATGCCACGAAGAAGGGNNNCTCCACCGTTTGTTTGGTTCACTCAGTCGAGACGCTTCTTGTAATGGCAGTCAATCAACCAAGAAATATTAACCGGCCGACACACATCCAGACCACAATTGTTTAACATTTGTCTATGCAAATTCCAAACCAGGAAAAAGCACCCACCTGTATTATAGATGATGAAGTTGGGAAATGGTGCATCCTTGGATTTCGGGATATCCATCGGTATGGCTTTCAGATGGTCATAGAAGGTCAACAACTGCCAGGGAGATAGTAAAACGTACCCAATGTGAATGAAGGTCAACTGAGTTTTATTTACGAAAATCAGGTCACCTGATTTTGTCTTCTCGTACTTTGGGAATCGAGAGCACAGTTCTAAGGGGATGAGTAGAATTGTGTGACGGGTTCCGGTGGAGTAGGAAGTGCATTTTTTGACCGACAATGTTAATTTCAGTGGTCACCGGTAGAAGAAAACGGAGGATCATTTTCAAATTAAACCAAAACACTTCATGCCCACTCAATAATTGGGAACAATAAAGTGTATTTGAGTAGTCTAAACTTCAGATGGCAAAAGCACATACGTATCATTCTCGTTGAAGGTCAATATCACTCGNCTCGTAGTTGTTTCGAGTTGAATCATTCTTCCGAACAGCGACGAATTCGGGTGCTTACCTGTGACTGACGGAGATGGGGGAGTACCAACTACTCCGGAAGGAAAGTGATTCAAATGGCCTATACCAGGTGACCGTGGACCGTCTGTTGGCGGTGTCGATCCTGGAGATTGACCTGGTGGCGAATTACTTCCATGAGGGACACCAGGGACACCAGGCATGTACGTCCCAATACGAGATGAACCGGTGCCCGAACCACTGTTCACTATTTGATTACTAGTGGACGATACCTCGGCAGAAGAGCCATTAATTGCTTGGTTGTGATGAATGCGGTTATAGTGAGCGTAGACTTGAACAGCAAGAACGCGTTTGGCCCTGTCCTGTCCGACAACGTAGCGATCCAAATACGCATGAATCTGTAGGCAAAACATCAATATGAAGGACAAGGTGATAAAATTAATGGAGTAGGAAACAGTCTTGTAAAATAGCAAAACGAAAGACAGTGAAGCGAACTTCGATGAAAGCTACCAAACCGAGTATGAAATGTAAGTATGCGTGTGGACGATTAATAGATAAGAACGAGAGGAAAGAGAAAAATGGCAAAAATTACAATCGGACAGTATGTGCACACTGCCCCAGAGGAGTAGATTTAGTGAAAAGCATGAGACCCAGTGCGCGATATGTTGGCAACCAATATCAGCCGGTGAACATTACATTTTCCTGATTAAGGGTAGGTACCGGAGGGAAGGCAGAGCAGAGTGAACAATCTTCAGACGTGAATATGCACTTATTACAAATGAGGCGATTCAAATTGATTCGCTGTTGTAAGGAATTGGTGTTAGGACACTGTCGCATTAAAGCCGAAGATAAACAGTCAAATACCACCAAGAGTTGATGGATGTCCTCCTAACGCAAAATCAAGTTCTCACAATCGACATGCAGAAGAAAAAACACTTATGTACTTATGAAAGGGGTTGCGCGAAGTACTAGATTCATGCCGCCGTAAGCTGCCCAAGGCGCCCATACGCCAGTGCTCAACGACTTTAATGTTACCGTCCTTTTGGAGTAAGAACTGGTACATGTAGCTAGGGACCAATGGAGTGAAATAATAACGAACGCCGCGGGTGGCCCAGTGGTAAAGTCACCAAAATACCACCAACGGCACGAGTGTTCGAACCTCACCACCATCGCCTGACTTTCCCCATGACAGCCCTTTCGCTGGCCGCTTCCTCCTTCCTGAAAATCGTATCATTGTGTATTCANTAAAATTTTTTTTTTTAAGTCAGAGATAGCGTAAAAAGGTGATCCAAGATATTCATGAAGGCAATCCGAAATAAACAATGGGAGAGCATCAGCTCGGTGTACAAGCGAGAGCTGGATTTAGTAGGAACCTTCGAATTACTTGACCACGGAGCTGTCGACAGATATATCGTTATTAACAAGCGTGTCACTGACCAGATTGCGGTTGAAACAGTTCGAGACAAGCATTCAATCGTGCACCATCTTGCTCGCAGTTGGGAATCGAAAGAAGACAGTAGAATGTGTGAGAGAATGAATTCATCAAACCCACCTACCTATGCACCTCAATTCGTTTGCTCATCGTTTAAATAGGAAAATCAACCAACTAGTCAACTTGCGATCAACGAAGCCGCAACAACTGTCTAATCTTGTCGTAGGATTCTGCGACTGAGTGCATTAGAATAAGAGCCCTCGTCTAAATGTCGAATGCACTCCGCACGTTCGCCTAAACAGACGTCGTCAGCGTACTCCAAACCACAGAAATTTTCGCCAGCTTTCTTTTTAACATCAAAAGTTTGGAGAGGAGTTACGACATTCGTTATTTTTTGCCTGAGACGGAATTGAACAGTTTCCAACGTTTGGCTGGAACTGCTTCATTATTTAGCCAGAATGTTGGGAAAACAGTCTAATTAGCAAGTTGCAATAAGTCTGACACATTTTCTTACCAAAGGAAAGAACAACTGTTCCGTTGTATATCAGCATCATTACCATCGCACAGCAAAATACGGGGAGCGCTGCCTAACTCGCAATGCGTACGTCAGTAGCGATCTTCAAGGGAGACAGGGACTGCACCTCCTCTGAGGGAGGGAGAAGAGGGTGAACCACCATGGTCAACACAGAGAACACAATCGAACTCTGCATACATACCGTTTCAAGCACTCTGGCCTGATAAGAAACGAGAACAAGAGCGCCACTGCTGTCGGTTCGCTTCCATATCCTTCAATGTCTCCAACCAACCACTTGTGGAGTCTTTCAGACCCCAACCTGGAAGGCGAGAGACACCTACTCTACCTAACAGCTCTGTGCATTTCTTCATCCCTAGTCTCCACGTCACCTGTTGACCTCCACGCGGTCTTCTCCAGCCCGGAGCTGCTACAGTGAACAAAGCCCGGTGCGGCAGACGATGGCTGGGCATAAGCAATACGTGCCCTAGCAAGCGAAGTCTACTAATCTGAATCCGGTGTGCTAGCAGGTTGATACCTGATGGACTCCCGAACACACGACAGCTTACCTCCTAATTACTAACCCGTTCGCTCCATCCCACGTGGGCTAAACTGCGTAAACACCGATAGTCGAAAACCTCTAGTCGACGGATATTTTCTACTCGTAAATTCAAGGCCTCACAACCATAAAGCAGAACTGAACGAACGCTAGTATAATACACAAGACTTTTCAACTTCAGTGAAACGTGGCATCAACGCCAAAAGTGTTTTAGTCCTGCATATGCTGATCGAGCTTTGGAAATGCGGGCGGTTATCTCCTTTGCTGCGCTATAGTCATTGGTCACGCAGCCACCTAAGTGGGAAAGTAATCCATCGTAACTAATTCCTGGTCATTTAGTTTCAGAGCAGTAGTAGGCGAACTCCAGTTCTGCAGCATCACTTTACACTTTGAAGGTGAAAACCACATATCGAATATGGCAACCGCACTTGTTAGCCTATCAATTGTGCTTTGCACATCCTCCATATATTCGAACAGACAGACGACGTCATCGGCGTACTCTAAATCACACAGCATGCCACGGTCTCCAGGCTTGACAAAAGCCATCCTGTGTAGCTCGTTGGGTTATGGAGGTGCACAAACGATCACACCAAGGTTATCCAAAACGGGAACAAGAATTTAAAGCTTTGGAGTGAACTACTAAATGGTCTAATAGGATGATTGATATTAAGCAGGATAACAGAGAAGCTACATCCAAAAAACGACGACAAACGCTTCTTTCATGTTGAAAGTAACTGTCACCGTTGGCTGAAGTAATGTAATTTGAGCACTCGACTCACGATGCGGAGCTGATCGATACAATGGCAACCTGACAAAAGTCAAACAGCGATTCACATCCATTTATGTTTACAAACACGGAATTTTTTTATTACACATCTTAGTGTGATGTATAGTAAACGGAGTAAACCCCATAGTCACGAGGACCTGATGGAAACCGGTAACCGAAGACCCGGGACTTGGAGTGGCGAACCACATAAAGCCCCGACAGGACAGGCGTGTTATTGAACCGGACGACAGCCAAGCTGCCTACATATCGTTCCAAGCACTCTGGCCTGGTAAGAAACGAGAACAAGAACGCCACTGCTGTCGGCTCGCTACCATTCAGTTCAGTTCAGTTTTTACAACCAGTAACCCTGCACTTTCGTGCGCCGGTTTTGGTTGCTGTCTTTTGGTGCCACATTTGGATAAAAGAGCAGAATGAAGATTGGAATGTTGAAAACAAATGCAAGCGGAAGATGGAGAATTCATTTAGAATAACGATAGGGGAATAATGAGTGGATGCACGAACGCCACTGTTAGCGAAATCCAACCATACCACTCAGCGTATCTAACCATTGGTGATCATCATCCCGAGGTCCCCAGCCAAGGAGCTTAACAGGACCTATGTGACCTAGTCTCCTGGTTAGGGTTCTTATACTCACATACCAGGTCTTAGTTTGACCA